GCTTAGCATCTCTTACCAGTGTATGATGCAGAGAGCGTTAGGAATAAACAGAGGGGTCTCTTCCCCCTTTTAAGATGCTGGCTCCACCTTTCTCCATCTCCCCTTTTGCCCATCTCCTCTGGAGGAAGAGAGCTGACTATACAAATGGCAAAATGACACATGTGCAAATTTCCTCAAGAAGCGCTTAAAAAGCATCTTCATCTAACTGTCTGTCTTGGACATGAATAGAGGATTGTTTTCTTACTTCAGACTCCACTCAGTCATTGATATTATTACGTCTTTCCACCTACGTGAGTTACATACTAGTGACAAATACATTTGAAAGCTAATCATTACCTCAATCAGTCAATTATTCAAAGGATACATCAGTGTGATTAGTTGCTTCCAGTTAATTATAGGAACTGTAATTAGCTAATAAGGGTGTCTCATCATTTATATAATACTGATTTTCATTGTTTTAGATGCAATAATTTAAAAAGTCCCCTGAATCTATATATTGAGAAAACAATCTAGATTACTTTTAAAATAACTTTGCCAAACTGCAGGAAATCACCTACTCTCTTCAGATAGTGTAATGCTGCTGCCATCTTCTCAACACTGTATGTTATGGAAAATTAATTAGTATGTCCTCAATAGTAGACTTTTTTGTGAGCTGCCTCCTGAGGTCAAATGTCACACAGATGATTAGAAAACTTGTTCTATCCTCATCACTTCACCTTTAACAAATCTAAACTGAAGCCAAACACCAGCAAAGAAGTTTGGATATGTCAGTGACATTATCTACCACTTTGTAGAGACATAATTTGCTCAGAAATTACAAATGCAAGATGGCAGGATTTCACACTTCTCCTCCCTAAGTGCCTTGGGGAGAATATATGATGCAGGCATCCCTTTTTGTTTTAAGAGATTCTGCTTGTTTACTCCTTATTTTTGCTCTTCCTTCCCAAGAGCTTCAGGAGCTTCAGACTCAACTAGTTAAATCTTTATAGCTCAGTCTTGTGCCTGAGCCCTAAAAAGAGGGGCATAAGGCCCAGTTCCTCTTGGATTAACAGGCACTTGACTCACAGCGATGCCACTACACACGTGAGTCTCCCCCAGACTGTCTTTCTCACCTCTACTTGGTCAAGAAAAAGGCAATAATCCAGCATTTGCTGCTGGGGACATTTGATACACATCATGCACCAATGTACCAGGGTGTATAAAACAAGTCCAAAAGTTGGTAAGAACTTTCTGAGAGGTAAAGCCATGCCCCTAAGCTCAGACTGGCCAACCTGACTGGAGATGAAGAAGAGCTCTTCCAGATTTTCTCTTCTCCCCCTGTGCTTGTCTGATGGTGGCTGGCTGGCTTAGGCAGCTAAACCAACAGCAAATTAACCTTACAAAACCAATTTATTTGTTTTTGGCCTCATTTATTTCTAATTCTTAATCAAAGGTGGTCTAGGGGAGTACAGTCCCCTGCATCCCTGCAACTCCCCTGCCTCCTGCCCTTGCATTTTCATTACATGCTGGAGACAAGCCATCCTCTCCAGATCTTCTGGCATTTTACCAACAATATGATTATCCCAGGTTTTTGTTTTTAATATTTTTTTTATTTTTATTTCACCTCTGTCTTTACCCTGAAAGTCTCTCTTGATTCTTGCTCCAGTTCTAGCTGCCCTAGGCAATAGTTGCATTAACATTTCACTAAGACACCCCATTTATTTATTTAAAATTAGAAAAAAAGGAAAGATTTATAAAGCCAAGTGAAAGCTCAGAAGGCTATGATCATCTTAACCTCAGCATTATCTAGTGGTCAAAGCACTAGAGTAGACGTCAGAAAAATCTGTGTCTGATAAATATTCCCTGAGAAAATCATTTAAGCCCCTTTTCAGCCTCCCTATATGAAACATAGGATTTATACCTGACAAGGTGTTATGAGACATCTATGTATGGTATGCATTATTTTGCAGTTCTCCACTTCCTTATCAGAGCTCCTAAATACTATTCATGTGACTCAGACTCACAGTTTCAGTGAGTTCCTTTGGGTACTTTCCAAACTCACCCACTCTTAATTGTCTTTTTTTCTCCCTTTGCTTCACTGAATAAATAAACAAAGGTTGGAGGAAAACAGAAATCCTGTTGTACTGGAACTTTTGTACCTACTCACATTAGTGCTTTAATAATCAGAACTATAGCTTTCATAGAGGTTTCAGGCTGCTTTCAAAGAGCTCTTTCTGCTAATAGTGAGGGGAGAAAGAATCCTTGAACATTTAAGCCTATATGTTCTTTGGTGCCTAGATGAAAACAGGAGAATGCAGGAGTTTCTTTGCAAAAATGTGTAAAGTCCTGTCTTTGACAAAGCAAAAAATATCACAGGAAAGTGCAGATTTTAGGACTGATTTATTTGAGTTCTGATAATGATTTTGCCTGGACATGCATGAGGCTCCCTAAACAAATCACACAATCTCTGATTTCTCATTACTGATGTTGTTTCTCCGAAGGCAGATGCAGAGCCACTTCTTGTAGCCATATCGAGAAAGGTCCCTCTCTTCTTGATGCAACTTCACTTGGTAAATGTGCCTTGATATTCTGCCCTTTCCCTGTGCTTTCTAGTTTCAGTACAGATCATCTCTTAGGTCTTTCCCTCTCCCTGCTGTGAAAACTTCTCCCCTCCATTTCCTCTGCTTTCTTTCATTCTCCATCTCCTGAGGCAGGCATGGAAGTTTTACTGATGTCAAAGGTAAAAAATGAAAGTATGCGAAAGTATAGTTCTTCCCAACTATGGAAGAAGCTACATCTACAGAAGAAAAAAAAAGTTAAAATAATTCCTCTGGACCTTCCTTCAGTGCCACAGGCAGCCTGAGACTCTTCCTGAGAGATCAAATGCTGTCTGCTGAGAAGGCACATGAGACTTCTAGGGAAACACAAAGAGGAATCGGTGTTTCTTGGGAATGACCTTCAAGACTGTGGCCCTGGGAAGCACAAATGTATCCCATTACAGCGTACAGAGACTGAAAGGGAGTTCCTGGAAGTCATGGGGAAAAGAGGACCCTTCAAGTATTCTAAGGAACCTGCCAAATCCAGTCTGAAATTTCTCATTTGGGGATCATTGCTTATAGACAGATACCTAGTTTCCCCCCAAATGGAAAGAACAGTTAGTAAGTTGTCACCTACGTACAATTAAAAAGGTCGGAGGTGCTGGATCTTATTAACTCTAAGAGCTGGAGATCTCAGGGCTGGAATTGCATGTCGTGCCTTGAGATGACAGGGACTCTAAGGCAAATGCTGCAAATGGGGGTGGCCAGTACTGTTAGAAGGTCAAAGGCTGAGGAAGGGGAGAAATAGAGTCATCGAACAATGCTACAGGCTTGCCTTGTCTAGGTGAGAAATTGCTCAAATTAATGGTGTGAGTGAATCAGAGAGATGTGCAATGATCGCATGTGCAGGGCTCTCCAAACATCTCTCCTGCAAAGGCAGTTTGACCTGGCACAGATTGGTCTTACTCACTCACTTTGCCTTGCCTTGCCAGTGTTTGAAAACCTGTATCCATATGACTGAATAAAGGAGTTTGTTTCTGAAAAGGCTCAACAAAGTCAATCCAAAGAAAAATTTTCCTTTGACATGGACAGAAGAAGATCCTCTTGGTCCCTGCTAGCTGTGACTTACTGGACAGCATTGGAGAAGTGCGCCGTGGCACTGTCATTAGTGCACACTTTAATAGCAGGGGACAACCAGGTTCCTCAGCTGCGATTTCCAGCACTCCCTGTGTCTTTTTTTTCAGCTTTGTCTGGCAAGGCAAATAAACATTTCCCAAACGTGGGCCGTTTTCTGTGCTGCAGCTTGTCTAGAAGAATTTTAGGAAACTCAGTGAATTGAGAATAACTTTGGAGCCTATTCAACAGCACTCATATGTTTCTCCATGCTGTTCGATTAACTGCTGTTATCTAAATGCTTTACTCTTCCTGGAAATATATTTGTGTTTTGATAAATTTTTGTGGTGGTGATAATTAATTCCTGTTGGATAAAAAGTGTATGCACAGAGTGCTGTAGGTTTTGTGTAGGTAGCTGTATATAGATACAACCGCAGGCATTGAATAATCATAAAAAGAGAATGAATGGTGAATTCAGGCCCAGTGTGCCTATTGATTGATTAAATTGCCAATAATAGCTATGTATTGTAAAAATCAGAGTCATACTGCAAGGTTATATAATAGACACACAAGTAAATTACTTGCTTAGATAATATTGTTATCACTGGTGAAAGTAGATCACATAATTCTTCTGTCAAATAAGTTTTATTCATCACAAGTTAGAAAAATGTGGGGAAACCTGTTAACCCCACTTGTCTGACCTGTTCCTGTCAGAACTATCTTTAGTTTGAGCTCTGGAAGCAACAAACTGCATAAAGTCTACGCCCCCTTTCTAACATTATTATACTCCCCTGCTGTTTTAATTTATATGTTTAATTTTGGTTTGCTGGGTGCAATATGGCTAATTGCTTGAGAACTGTGCAACCTTACAAGTGAAATTTTGCTTTTATAATTTGTAGCACATCAAGTGTAATAATGTACATTTAATTTCTCAAAAAGATAATTATGCAAATAGAATTATTTGAATAAAAATTCACACTTTATGCAGGATAATGTCCTCTACCTCCTAATTTATACTAATGTAAGTCTGCAAGGAATTTTTAATAAGCTGTTTCCAGCTTAAGCCACTCATGGCTGGAAAGGGTTGGACTGAAGCAAAGGGCTGACAGGACTTAGATGGGACAAAAACATCTCAAAGAGCTCTGTAGCAAAGGCTGTCAGAGGTTGATGCAGGTATCGGGCTTGGATGGATGCTGTACCCAGCACTGATCATGGGGGAGGATGTTGTTTTGCTATGTTAAGCTTACAGTGGAAAAACAAAGAAGGAAAAAAGGCTGTGCAGGTGAGTTGCAGCGTTACACGCAAGCAGGGCTTGCAGAATCCAAGCTTTTATGAAAATGGCCCAGTCACTACTTGGGTCACTGCTGTAACACAGCTCAGGAACGGGCTGGTGTCTTGTCCGACCACCACCACCATGGAGGGGGTCACATTTAGGCCACTCCACATTCCTGTGTTGTCAACATGTGACATACCCTGAGATATGTGTTGGGGACTTCCATTTTTGGGAACAGACACACCATTCATTTTCGATGGGACATAAGGATCCTCCTTGCACTGGCTGCGTCTTGCAACCAGGAAAGAAGGCTAGGAAAGCCATGCCTTCAGCTAGTCCTCTTTTCCTTTAGTTCACAGGAGCTTGATGAAAGTGAAGTGTTAAAGTAGCATAGAGTTGAGCTTCCTCTATTTTATTTTGGAAGAGAACAATTTTCTCTGTGGCCATGTTTAAACTGCTGTGCCTGATCCCCCTTTCTTCACAGACTTTCCTCCCCTGCCTGTTGCACCCATTGCTCAGTGAAAGCCCGGCCAACTAGTAGCAGGGAGTGTCAAAATACCCTGAAATCTCAAACAGCAACATGCATTTACTGTTTAAAATTGTGCTGTTTGGGGCTTGACATGTTGATTATTGCATTTGTAGTAATTCCTTAGCCTTGGAATGAGGAAACTATTGCAAATTCTTTGGAAACTGTTTAAATATAGAAGTATGATAAATGAAAGTTTTTAAAGGTGGTGGCTTTCTTACTAGATTAATACAAAATAGCATAATTAATGTCTAGACTGTCAGTTTGTATTTTCTGTCTTAATTTTTACAGGATTCTTTTATATGCTATGAATATATTTATAGCTGATAAAGAGCAGGATAGGCAGCCTAAGAACTTGAAAATTTATTAATCTATAGCAAGGGCGTAATCTGAGCACCAAGTTCTGCAGAAAGCCTGTATGTTTCTTCTCTCTACCAATGTATGTCTTCCTTCTCCCTCCTCACACAGTTAATCATCCACAGGGCTGATGATTTCAAGGTCACAAATAAGGAGACACTTTCTGCAATGTTTCCATAATGTTGACATCTATTTGTTAGAAAAGAGGGCGGACTGAGGTCAAGCCTATTCATTTCACAAACTCTGGCCAACATTAATATCTGAATACAATCTTGATTTCCTCTTTTAGGTACGGGAAATAGCTTTAATATCTTGGATACCACAATGTGGTAGCTACTGCTTTTTAATGTTGATCCCTATAGGCCATCAATCCATAACCAGTGTTACTACTTACTGAAGCTGAGATGGTTTCAAAATGTGATTTATAGGTAAAAGGCTCACCATCCTATGACTTACTCCTTGTGTTGTATGGATCCACTTCATTTTTTAAATTCCTTGGGTCATCGACAACTACTCATTTTTAGGCAGCACTCTTCACTGATTCGATTGAGGAGTACTTATATAAAAAAAAAAGATCGGATGATATGGCCTCATGCTTTATGGAGTCTAGTTATTTAATATCATTAGAATACATATTTTGGAGACTTGATCTTTTTGGGGTTTGTTTTTCTTTGATAGTTTTAAATACAAAGTGTCTGAGAACTAGGAAAGAGAGCACAAGTTTGTAAGAAATAAAAATGACTATGGGTCTTCACTGAAATATATATGGAGGCTATTTTTACTTTCATTGCTGAGTTTTGCAGAATAAACAGATTACAATAAACAGAATACAGAGAGGTGATAACATTATTATTATTATTTATACGGCACCATAAATGTGCATTCTGCTTAACAGACAAATAAAAGACATCTCAGGAGATCGCTTCAAGTTCAACTTCAGCATAAAGTAAAACTTTCTCCCGAACATTTTGTTTTTCTCACAGCTGCAAAAAAACAAATGTTTCAGGCTTGGGTGCATTAAACTGAGGAACTTAAATCCTTATTTGGGCCCCAAAAGAAAGTGATTTGTTCAGCACTGTTTAAATGTGTAAGCCAAAATTCACCTTCTGATAAAAATCCTGCTGACTGCAATGGAGGCCAGAGCTGATCCAACGTTCCCATCTAAACTGCAGAAATCCAAGAGTGCCTCAGACTCCTGGAAATTAAACAGATTTTCTATGTGCTTACATTTTTAAAGAACATAAATACTGAAGAGGCCAAGGCTTAGGCAAGGCATGTGAAAGAAAGAAAATTGTGGAACTAGAATTGGTTTAGGAGCCACCTTTGGAGAACTCATCTCAGTGATGAAAGATGATTGGGTAAGTCCGTCTCCTAAGGAATCAAAAAGAAGATATGTGCATGTTGCCTTGGCCATGGACATAAACCGAGTGCTAAACAAACCCTCTCCAAAGAAGTAGCCTAAATGAATGGTTTCAAGGGAAATTCACGGACAATACTAACCAAGTAGCACAACAAACTAATTAAAAGTTTTGCATTGAAAATATTTATTAAAATAAGTGCCTATTCAATATAATGCTTATATGTTTCAGATAGAGGAAAAAAATCTTCTCCAGGAACATTTATAAATTCCAAGGCAGTACGAAATACTCATAGGCACTGAGTCTTCTGGGAATAAATCATGCCCAGGCTTCAGATATTAAGTCAGGAAGTAGCACGGTCTTCATTGCATCTGCAGCTGACAACTTTGGCAGGATACAAAGTTTTTGCATCCTGGTAGCACGCCAGAGAAACACGTCCTCAGAGCAAAGTCCTTTATAACCTGATTGCTATTACAAAACAACATGAAAACACACATGACCAGCAGATTTATCCTAATTTATAACTCTGTCTTCTGTCTTTGGAGAAACTAAGTAGACCTTCTAGATAGCCTGTGTCTAGATGGCCATACCTGTGACTACTTGACCCAGTATGATCTCATGTGTAGTTCTAGCTGCCAGACTAGCTATCAGAATGAGCTGCTCACTGCTTCTGTAGCTTCCTCCTACACCCTCTTCCCTTAATGTCACTTCTTTGACACTATTTTTTAGCCTTTCCTATCCTGGAAAATAAATTTACAAAGCATAGATTATCATAAAGCTTTACCTAGAGGGCATTCGAAGCTCTACAAAAGTCATATTAGCATCCTTACCTGTTTTCTGACTTTTCTTGCCAGCTCTGTCTGCTAAGACTATCTGCCTGGCATGTAATGTGTATGTATGGGTCTCTGGTGGGAACTCACCTGACCAAAAGAAACATCAACAATATCCAAGCTCCTTACATATTTGGTGAGAAACTCATTCAGAGCAGATCCCAGATCAATGCTTTGACAGTAGCCCTTTTTTTTCTTTTTTATTTTTTTTACCTCATATAGATGTCAGGAATACAATGGTACACTGTCTAGATTTCTGTGGCTCTCGAGCACACAAAGTTAAGCAAATTCTTTCCAATCTTTACCATCATTTAGCTAAGGATTCTTGAAGCCTCAGCTAAGGTGAAGGATAAATGTCAATCTGCTCTCAGTCTGTGCTGCAGAATAGCACTCCATTTTTCTGTGCAAAATTTTGATTTGAGTGTATGTGTGATGTATGTCCCAAACTCTCCATAAACTATTGGAGTAAAACAGAAAAGGGCCATTAAAGCTTGTAAAATATTTTAAAAAATAATAATTCATGAACAACAATTGATTTGTGAAGCCTGCACTGAATCTTTGCTTTTCAGTAGAAGCCTGTGGAACCCTATATTTTTCAGAAATGGGGGAAAGAAGAGCAGTATACACATAATTCTTACTTCTAACCAAGAAAGACATGACATACTTTCAAATAACTACGAACAGTAACAAAAATACTCTAGCACCACATTAAATTCTTAATTTGCAAAAATTAGTAGGTTGGGAATGTGCATGATTCCAGACCTCTGGAGGTGTAAAAATAAATTTAAATATGCAACGTGCTTGTTAGAACAAATGGTTCATAGTCAAAAATGACTGTAATGACAGGTGATAGGATGTTTGCTTCTGTACTGTTTATCCATAATAGTTCAGACAGTTCAGGAGTCCTGGCATTCTTCTTTTTCTATCAGTTTGACCCATGGGTTAGAAAATGACAGTACTGGAAAAAAATTCTGACTGTGACTAGCTAGAAATAAGTAGCAGCAGCCTGATAGAAAGTTTTATAAATCTAAAGAGAAAATTTCTCTTTCAGGGATTAGAAAGCACTGGAGCCAATTCAGTTGAGTTGGAGCCTGCCTCCTGACATGTTTTACAGTCCTTCCCAGTCTGATAATTGATTTCAAATAACATTTGAAAACAGTGTAGGATGCCATCCAGAGAAAGGGGGATCTGGTATACCTGGCTGACATTTATTATTACAAGCCATTTCCTGAGCGAAGGCTTTTGGACATAGTCCTCTTTCTGACCTGCAGAATAAGATCAGAAAGACTATAAAGCAACTCCAGCGAGGGAGATAAACACTGACCCAGAAGTTTTGCTTTAAAAGTCTCAGTCAACAAATATAGAAAGCCTCTAAAGCTATTTAAAAGCCCAATACAACATTTCTGTCTAAGCCCTTGTTAACAGAAAATTAGCTGTTGTGTATGGAAATGGGCTCATCTAGGGTCTCATATTTTGTTACAGGTGATTTTAAAACTCTGAAGGCTACCTCTGGCCTTCATCCAGCAAAGGACTTATAGGTGTTCTTCACTTTGAAACTGTCTTGGTGATGTCAACAGGATTTTCCATGTACTTGCAGTTAAAGACTCAGATAAATGATTATCTAGAGCTAACCCCTCTGCCTCAAGGCTTGAAGATCCCACGGTAGCTGTTGTAAGAAAAGGTCTTGCTTTATGTTTCTGGTCATCACCTTCTCTTTGGGCAATTACTCCGCCTTTTGGCTCACTACACAGTGCTCCAGATCAGGCTCAAAAGTTATTCTCTGAAAACCCAGAATTTGAACAACCCCACTCAACCCAATCAAACACCTTTTCAGGACCCAAACAAATTTACTGCAGAGGCCAGTTCTCATCACTGAGGATAACTGACCTTCAGTAAAGTTAGCCTGAGTTTTGCAAATTAAAGAACAACTCACCTTCTCTGACTTTCCTCCTAGAATTTTGCCGCTTCAATAGAGAAATGTGCCTACACAGAGCACAGTCTTTTGGTGACCCTTTTCTGAGTAGAAATCTAATAGCTGTCTTTTATGGCATGGAACCACCTTTTTTTTTTTTTTTTTTTTTTTTTTTCCCCTTAGAGCTTGGTAAAAGCTAATTGAAAAGCAATCACAGCCCAGCACTTAATGGGCTTTCACATTTCAGTAGCAAACATCTTTTTTTTTTCTTTTTTTTTTCTGTGTTCAAGAGGCACATCCTGTGCAATTTGTTCCTTTCCAAAGAAGGTAGATAGTTTGATCTTAGCAAGAAGACCACAGTATATCACTTCTATTACCTACTTTATAAGAGAATAAATGTTTTATAAAACTTCTGGAAGTAATTTCTTATGTCAGGGAGGTAAAACTTAGTCCTTGTACTCAAGATACTTTAATTAGTTTTCCCTGAATCTGTTTTCTCAGTTGTCTCACTACAACTGGATCAGTTTTATTACCCTGAAGAAATAATTTGCTCTTATTAAGACCAAGTACTCTGTTGTATAATTTAATATGTTACATTTATCTTTAACGTTAAAAGGCCTGAGCCAAAGTTCACTGAAATCAACGGAAAGTCTGCAAGTGACACCAAAGGGCTTTAGGTCTTTTAAAAAACTGTCTGAAGAAGAGCTCACACTACAGTTATTACGTGCAGCAGATCTAGCATGGGTATTATTAGAGGCGTAACTGTGCTCTGTACAGGGCTTTGTGGGGCCAACTAGCAAGTATTTATGCAACTCCTTGTGCAGGTGGGGGTTTTTAGCCTCAACTGAGCTTTATGCTGCCATGGTTACATTGCTAGAAATACCTGCCCTAGTTAGCTTAAATTTAGCCTATGTATGCTCACACAAGTTGAAGTCATTCCACTATAGACATGTTTACTCTCCCTGGAGCTTTCTTCTGTTGTAGTGATATGATTTCATCCCTTAAATCAGAGATATATCTCTGTCTGGTTTTGCTGGCTCCATCATGCTCCTGCTTGTCAGCAGTCACCTGTAACACTGAGTCCTCTGTAGCGATATTGTCATTTTTTGTTACAATCTATTTTCGTTTTTCATTACTTAAAAAGGTTTTGAAACTCCTCCTTTTCTGACAAGCATTTTTTTCTTGCCACCTGTGTTTCCCTGGTGGATCTGCTAATATCAATAAATTAATCCCAAAATGCATTATAGCATGGTTGAACACCATTATATTGACAATCCAGCCATAAAAAACCTTCTAGCTTAGTTCCTTAGAGACTGAATAAAAAACGCCATCCCAGAACTAGATTGATATTAGGCAGTATAAAAGTGGTGTTATGTGCTGAAAGCATTATTTTCCTCCAAGTGATAGTCAAGCGAAAAGCTTCACAGAAATGTATTTTAGAAGTGGCCAGTGTGTGTGTATCATACTCAGAGTTCTGAGGATATATTACAACATCAGAGGACCAATTAAAATCCTGCACTAAAACATTAAATATTAATTTGAAATGAGAAGAAGTTCCTTACTAGGTCACTGATATTCAGCAAGGGAAAGCCTGATGTTTGCAAGCATCACTTGTGTACTCAAATATATTCCATTTTTGTTTTGGTCTTGCATGTCCGAGTGAGAATCCAGAGCCATGTCCCAATGTTTCGTTAAGGGCCAAATCCAAAGGCTTGATAAGGGGCTGCCTGAGACCTTCACTACTGGATTTTTTCCATCTCCAATGGCCTCACACATGGACTTCAAGAAAAGCACTACCAGGCCTTCTCTAAGGAAGGAAAAATGAAGGAACAAATTGACCAGTTATTAAGAACTGAGCTATTTTCACAATTAAACATGATTCATGCTGACAGTGCAGATTCAGAACACTCTACAGATTTAATAGTTGTAAGTATTATTTCAGTAGTGATAAGTGATGCCTGAGGAAAAAAAATCTTGAAGGGAAAGAAATTCTGCTAAATTCATCTTTTTTCTTTTTTTCCTTTTTTTTTTTTTTTTTTTTTTTTTCCTGGAATATCTATACCATAGCATCTATAAAGAGTCAATGTCTAAGCTTTGAAAACTGCTGGGCTTCATTTCTAGCTCTAGTATGTACATGTTCATATCCATAACATTTTAATTCCATACCCCTTAAACAGTTTTTTGAACTTAAGAACAGAAGATATTTCTACCAGTATGCATAAAATGTCCAAATGAACTACCTACAAGTGAACTACCCTGGCACAACCAGTTGCTATTGCATATTTTCATATATCATGAAGGGTTAATAAAGACAGCCAACAAGTGCCAGGCTGATTTATAGCATTTAAAAAGACATGAGCTCAGAGAAGTCACAGACAGACTTCTCACCTTGCTGTCTTTTCTCCTTTGGGAGGCTCAGAAATATGATCCAAAAAAAAAAAAAAAAAAACCACCTCAGCATGAACATGTGTAGGTGGAGACAGGACTGACAATGTATTAGTTAAGATCTGCCATAAGCCCATCGGAATAGCAGTGCTGGACCAAAGGAAGATATGTTTCTTCTATAATTGTGGTGGTGTATCAAGCTATCACCAGTCCGTCTATGCATGTAAGAATAACTGTATTGCAGCATAACTGTGATACAGCAGCCTTTGCAAAATTTCACAGCTTTTTCTGTGAGTTTTAAAAGCTAATATCAGTGTTGATATTATATAAAGAAAGTATTTTTTGCTGTTATACACATTTTTAACTGTGAAGAGCATATTTTATATTCTTCCAACAATACTGTTCTTAATGAGGTTAAAGGCTCATAAGATTTCTGTTTCTTGACTGATAGAAAGGCACAAAGAGAAATTAGCACTTGGGGAAGAACAGGGACCTGGACAGACTGGACAACTGGGTGGTGAAAAACCTCATGCAATTCAACAAGGCCAAGTACAAGGTTCTGCACCTGGGGAGGAATAACCCCAGACACCAGTACAGGCTGGGAACCGACCTTCTGGAGAGCAGCTCTGCGGAGAAAGACCTGGGTGTCATGGTGGATGATAAGTTGATCATGAGGCAGCAGTGTGCCCTCGTGGCCAAGAAGGCCAATGGGATCCTGGGGTGCATTAAGAAGAGCATCTCTAGCAGGTCGAGGGAGGTG